CTATAACCCTGTATTTCCAAGAAATTTCTGTCATCAAAATCATCTACATTTAACCATGTTTCAGTTATTTACATTATATCAAAATCCTCCTTTCCTACCAGTGCCCTAAAATCATCTGTTTTATTTCCTTCTAGCATTACAATTGTAACAATTAAGCCTATTCTTAGATATACTAAGTATACTTATTTCCTATGCTAAATTTTTCTCTACAACTTGTTTTTTTTTGCATTTAGGTTATCCTGGCCCTCACCACTGTCTAGTCGTAGTTTAAATCTTCCCTTACAGCTGAGTTAATAGCCCTTGTAAGCAAACCAGATCCTACCCTATTTAAATGTAAACCATCCATTCCAAAAAGTTCTCTTCTCCAATAGAACTGATCCCACAAGTCCAACTAGCCTATCTGCTCATCCTTGTGTATTAACCTAAGCCTAGCATTTAGCTCTAGTGACCTACTCAAAATTACATCCCTACAATTAATTCTCGGCATTATCCCTGACACAATTAAGTAATAACCTTTTTCTTTAAATGCCATTATCAACCCCTTGTACTTATTAATTAGCTTCTCTGATCTACCTTTCCCTACATAATTAACCCCTTCATGCACGGCAAAAATTGCATCTCTGCTAGACCTTTTTTATTATTTCTCTTGCTCTGTCAGTTGTATCCTCAGCCTGCACCCCTGGGTAGCATAGTTTAATTATTTTCTCCCTATTTACCCCACAGACTATCCTATCCACATGCCATGTCAAGGAATCATCTACCACTATAACTTCTTTATAATCCACTTACTTCTTTGAACCTTTTGTTTTACTTTCCTCCAATAGTTTCTTGTCTCCACAAGCCATGGGCTGAAATATGTGTCACTCAACAGAATAAGCTAATCACAATTAAATCCAATACTTTTAGACCTAATAGTACTCTTTCTAACTTATTGAAACTCATTGTTAGTGGATGTATTCCTTGCATATGAAAGATTAAGCTCCTCTTGAAATCCTGCAACCATTTCCCATAGTCTATACATCTCTTTATCTATTGCCTCTGCTTTAAATATGATAGCTTCCAATCTACAAACTGTCCATACAAATTGCATATCTTCACTACTAGCTTCCTTAAAAGTACAAACCAGTCCAGAGTTCCCAAATGAAACCCACTCATTGCACCCATAACACCTAACAAACTGTGAATGCTTAAGTCCAACACTCATCTTAACCATTGTATTTGTAGTCTGGAAGTAAATACTCAACACCAATTGTAAATACCAGTTGGCAGTAACCTTTTGCCAACACTGTTATTGCTAAGCCTAGCATTTTAGAATCAATATTATGGTTTTTATCACAACTTTATGTTCATGCTAAATTAATTAAGTTTAAATTTTTAGCAGTGACATATAACTTAATTATGATAGTTCACATTATGAAAATTTTATTCTCTTTTAACGTGTTTGTTGAAATTAAGTCACCATGACCTTTTTATCTCAAGCTTGTTGAAAATAGCATAACAAGAACTTTTTCACCTAGAAAGTTTTTTTTTGTGTGTGAATTAAGTAAAATTAGGCATGTAAATTATGTTTGTACACGATATACAAATAACATTTTATTGTAGGCTCTCAGTGACGAAGCTAATGAGCTTCTGCCTGTGTTCAACAAAACCTCCAGTAAACACTATCGTACTTCACTGGGTCACCATGACTGGAGCACAGGAATGCACCATCACCACTTTAACAACAACACTAACAATGGTGAGAGGACCATTGGAGTTCGTCATGTCAGCACTTAATGTGTATTTGTTTTTCTGGGTGGTAGTATTAAAGGTAAGATTTATTACTATTAAGAAATAGACCCCTTCTACATTTATAGATGCAATACCATTTGTAGAGATTGTTAGAAAAAATTAATGCAGTTCAAGAAATCTTGTGTAATGATTTTCATTATCTGATGCTCATAAAAAATGTTAAATGTTATATTTAAGGTAATACAAAGTAGTGCTACTTAGTTTGATCCCCTTTCATTCTAATTTAACTTTTGGTTACCAGTTAAAAGATGTTTAGAAATTTTAAGTTTCACTTATAACTGCTAAGTCTTATTAATACTTTTAACTACTACAGTTAAGATATTATTGACTAATTTCTGTTCATTTTGTGTTTTATTTTGTTTTTTAAATTTGAAAGTTCCATTTACAATGGCTTAGTGTTTGTAACACCCTTTTTAAGTACTATACTTAATATACACTTGTATATCTGAGCCCATTTTATTTGGTTTCATTGCTTATTCTAATTCATTGGGGTTTTAATATGCTTAAGTTTCATTTACTTCAGTTTACATTTCTTTGTACTTGTATGTGTAAATATTGTTTCAGTTCAGTGTTTTATAACATGTTTCAAATAACATGATTACAGTAGTTTCACAATCTAATGCTTATAGATAAAAAGTTTATAAAATTCATAAAATGTTTCAGTAATTGCCCCAGGAAAGTGTGTATTTGAAACTATATCCATATCCATAAAGTTTCCAAAGATAAATAGCTATTAGCAATTTTTTTAAATACAAATAAATGTGATATATTTTTTCTTTCATCAGATATTTTTATTTTGTAAAAGAATGTAAACAAAGTATTATGAATGTTAATGTTTGTAGATATTCATGCTTTTAAAGAAACTGCCATGATTTCTATTGTATTAAAATGTTAATATTTTATTTTTTACTGTTATTTGCTATTTTTATTTGTTCTTAGTTATTTTGAATTTTATTGCAGTGATATAAAAATTAAGATGTTGAAATATTAAGGCACTTTTGAGGTCTATCAAAGATAACAAAATAATGTTTGATTACAGACTATTTGTATTAAATAATCTTGTACTGCAAACAAGTAGTATTTCAGATATACTTTTTTAAACCATAGTTATAGCTTAGCCGAGGAGTTATAGTATTTTGGAGTGTTTTTTTTTGGCAGACAGAAGATATGTCTGAAATGCAATAATTATGCAGTCTAGTATTTTAATTCTTTAAAAATATTTAACACTTAAACAAAATGTAAGGAAAAATTCATTTTCACAACTCAGTATAATGACTGTATGTGTATGTAAAAATAAGTACAATCATTAAATTATTTTTTCTTTTCAGCTTATAATCTGTAAGAGATTCTTGCTGTATGTTAAAAGTTGTCATGACTACGTATGTAACATGGATCATGGATAAACAGGATCTGTTTTAGTGATTTATGATTTTATTTTCGTAGAAGGATGTAATTAGAATGATTTTATTTGTGCAGGGAAGATTAATCAACATCAGAGATTTTGAAATGTAATAATTTAGAAAATTTGGAATCTGAATATGGAAAAGGTATTCAAGGCTTGAAAAGGCCCAAATGTCATAATAGCAATGCAAATGTGTAATAAAGTATATATGTTCTATACTTCTAAGTAGATTGGAGAGATTTATTTTCTAATCTTTATGACGTATATATGTAAATATGTTTGTAATGCTGCTAAAGTAAAACAGGTACTGGATGGAATGTTACTACATAATATTTAAAAACTAAAGAGATGATAATATACGTAGTTGTGTTTGAAAGGTAAAACTTCACTGTAGTTTTCCAAGGAATTATATCAGTGTCTGTGGAATTTTCCTCAATTGTAAGGATTCACAGTGGGCCAAGTTATCTTAATGTTTCTGAACCTGGAATTTTTTTTCACCGAGAAGCACATTGTATTAGGTAATTTGAATAATTCCTACATTAGTATATCAGAGAGAAACAGAATGTATTAGCTTGTCTGAACAAGATTACAATAGATCAGTATCTTCACCAAAATTATGAGCCAAATCTGGTTTAATGTCTGATTTACCTTTTTAAGACACTCACAGATTAAGTACTAGTACAGGGTTAATCTAATTTGGAATCAAAAGAACCAGTCTAACGCATAGTTTTGAAATTTAAATGTATCACAGCTTGAAGTTAAAAGATAAGTTGGAATTAAAAACAAAATTGAATAGGGTGGCCAAACTTGCTTAGTTTGATTGGGATCATCTAACTTAGATTCAGTTGATCTGTTGGGCCAATACAAGTTGAAAACATAGGATTTTATTAATTAGACTAACGTGGAGTCTGGAAATATTAGGTAATCTGATTTTTTTTAAAGGTCTGAGAATAAGTTGTCCAGGTATTCTTTGCGAAAGAAAATCTTTTGTCAGTACTCATTCTGAATATCACACATTAATTTTAGTGCTATTTTCTGTTAATTTCATTAATAAATGTGACTGTTATTTTGTATATCTTTAGCTATGAAACAATAAGGGAGCTAAATGCTTTAAATGATATTTAAGAAGTGTTGTTTTATTTTATAAACTTGAAGGTTTATCTAATGTTCACTGGTGTCCAAAAGTTAAGGAACAAACTGTTTTAGCATTTTGAGCACTAATGTTTTGTACCTTAACTTTTGAACAATAGTATATAATTATATGTTTACACACATAAAGAATTAAATGCTATGCACACAGCTGAAAGATTAAAAATATAATCAGATTATAGCGTAACTGTAACCCAGTTATCATATAAGCACCAAGGAAGATTAATCCCAAGCCTACAACTGCTCACAGACAATGAATGATAGTAGGAATAAAAATATTGAGAGCTTGTATTGTAAGTATATTGGAATCTACACCTACATATGATAGATATTAATGGAACAGGATATTTCAAGTGCTTTTTGGATGCTATTTTTTTGCAGTTTCCTGAAATTGATATGACTCGGATTTTTACTCTTGTATTTCTGCATTATCAATGTTTTTTGATGCTGATTTTAGTTCCCACACAGGGTTGATTTTGGTTTGTCATGTTTTTGAAACTGTACTGAAAATTTCCTACTCAAGTTCCTTTTGGTTTTTCACCCAAACACACCTACTGATCAAGTAATTTACTTGCAATTATCTTTTTTAATAATAAAGTGAGATAAATGTATGTAATCTGATGAACTTTATTATAACTGAAGTTTACATTTAGTTTGTAAGTGAACTTAGTAGTTCTGAATGATAAGTTTGAAGTCAGTTTAAGGTTAGAGATAAAATATGCCTCTAGTAATGTTAAGACTGGGCATTGTAGTATCTCATAGTGGTCAAGAAGAGATTTCACACATTTATTTTTAGATTAAGACATTATCAAAGAACACTAACATTAATGCAGAAATTTAACACAGTATAGGTCAGAAGTTCTCAATCTGTGATCTACCGGTTCCCTGCAGGTGGTCTGTGGAAAGGTTGAATAACCGTGAAAAAGAAGTGGCAGCATAATGATTAGAACTCTTGCAATCTGCCAAAATATAAAAAAATGAGTCGTAATCCACAAACAAAAAAGGTGCGAGAACCACTGATCTAAGTAACTAAGATCTATTGTTTAGCAGTTAGTTTTTGCTGAACATTTTGTAAGTATTGATCAAACATTCCAAGTTAACTGTTGGTAGTATGAAAGATAGAGTATTCAGATAAAGTGTACATCATGCATGGATCTAACATTTTGTAGTTTAAACCCAAAACCTTTTTAAAAATTTACTCATGATTAATGAACTACATAGTCTTTCAGAAACTATATATATTTTGATTTTTTTCCATCCATAATTTGAAAAACTTCTTCCTATAAATGAGTTTCATTAACTTGAATTTTTTTTTTAATATTTTACTCACTGAATACTCATTCAAACTTGCTATGTATGTTAACTACATTGTATTTTAAGAAATTTTGTTCTTAATTCCTATCATTAGAAAAAAAACTGTTCTCACCTTCAATGATTTTTTTATAAAAAAATCTTTGGAGCTGCTCTGTAGATTTATTTGTAGTTATTTATTGCACTTGGAATATTTAAGATTGAATAGGCAACTGAATAGGTTTGAACTATGTGAAATCTTAAAAAAACAAAATGGGTGATGGGGATGAAAATTAATATTGTCAGAACTGTATTTATGTCTTAGTAATCATTATTAACATTAAACTTTTGTACTTTAATTAAGCTTCTTGCATGGATATTTTGGAAAGATGATACTATACATTTTTTATCCTACAAAAGAATGTTTTAGCAAAACAAAAGTGTTGGCGATCAACTGTTTTCTCTATCACTTCATGATTAGGAGTTATGAAATTTGACGTTTGCTCTGAGAACTTTTGACTTACATAAAGAATGGGCACTAAAACAACTTTTGGCTTCTATTTTATGTGGAGAAATGACCACAGTTGATTATTTCTTAGGTATTGATATTGTGACAGCCTTTGGGTATGGCTTGATACTGGTGAAGGTAACTGTAAAACTTGGTAAACTTTCCGAATTTAGGGTGATAAAACAAAGAACAGAATTAGAAAATGGAAATGAAAGATTTCCATGATTTAGATTTGTGAGCTTGTATTTTTTGTTGTTGTTGTTGCAAAATTCAATAGGTGTAGGCACCAAAATATAACATATTTAATCCTAGTTGAGTAGATTTTATCCAAATTAAATCATATATCAGTTTTGTAGGAACTAAATCTATTGTACAGCTTTTTTATCTCTGTTATGTATTTAAATGATAATATATAAGCACTTTTTGTTGGGTTTTTAGACAAACATCACAATACATAATGAATTTACTTTCTCTCTTAGAGATCTATGTAATATTAGGGGCAAACATTATTTTTAAGCGTGTTGGAAGTATATTATTCCTTACCAGTTATGATCTTGTCTCTTAGAGTACAAGAGCTAAAAAGTGACCCTTGTAACTTTTAGTTTTTGGTGATTCAATCACATTCACTTCTTTTTGTTATGAAATTGAAGGATTCTGTCTTATTGTGCTTCAAATAACATAGAATTTTTGCACATAAGTAGAGTAATGATTCTTCTTTTCTTCTCTGTATGCAGGTTGTTGAATAGGGAAAACGTTGTTAAACATTAATGTTGAACTATCATGTACTGTTTTTGTCTTTATTTACATTCAAGTTTCAATTCAATCAATAAGTCAAATAATAAAATTGTAAAAACCTGAATTATATCTTTACAAAAGAGAATTTTAAACTTGTTTGTAGTACTTTTCTTTACATTTTATTGGTAGGTATTGTTTTGTTTTTTCAGTAAAATTTGATTTTAGTTATTTGAAAGTTGTACAGTGACCAATAGGATATTATTGTAACATTTTCTGCTCATTGTTATGAATTGGATAACTTTGCTGTGAAATTATCTAAAGTAGAATGCTACAAAAAAGTAAGTAAGCTTATTAATTCATATTCCAATATCAGATACACATACACGTTGTGCGTCTGCTTATTGACCAAACTTATTATCTGGTTTGTTTAGTGCTCCCATCTTGTAGACATGAGTTATTAAAATTATTGTAGTGTAAAGTCACTTTGTGGCTTAGATGTGTCACTACTGGACACCAGAATGTGTAAATAGCAAAAAAAATAAAAATAAAAAAAAATCCAAACCCCATAGAACTTGAAACATGTATGATTGCACATGTAGGTGTTCTTGTAGTATTAAGAATTTAACTCATCCTTATGTAGCTCACAGAACTTGTTAGAAACCTTTATAAGTTATCTTGTATTTGCTTTTTAGACTGACGTGTATACTGGAATATTAAATGTTTAAAAAAGTTTATTTGTGGTTGTGGTGGTGTTAATCATCACACATACCGTGCACAGAGTAACAGTTTGGTCTCTGTGATTAACAAGGTTTCTAATGTTTTAGTACTGTGTAAAACGCAAGATATTTGTAGGATATTTCAAAGTTCTCTATAACGTTGAAGTAGTGGCACGTTACTATGGTGTATACAAAATAGATTTGTATTTATCCCAGTAATATGTTGTGTACAAATTTAGATATGTGTGTTTCTTTTGCTGACAATAAAATTGGTGTGTTATAAATCAATTTTACAAGGGGTATTTATTTATACAAAGTCAATATAAGGTAAAAATTAACTATTTTAAAACAAAAAAATGTATCCAGGATGTTTGATGTTAAATACTTGACGTAATGCAATAATTATTTCTTTAACTTTTAGGGGCTGGGCGTGGTCTAGTGGTTAGTATCCTGGACTATGAATTCGAGGGTTCATGGCTCGCTTCTCATTACAGCAGAATAGTGCGTTATAAGGTTTACAGTCAAATCCCACTATTTTGTTAGATTAGCCCCAAGTGTTGGCAGTGAGTGTTGTTTATTAGCTGCTTTCCCTCCAGTCTATCATTTCAAAGTTAGAGACGACTGGCCCAGATAGCCCTAGTGTAGCTTTGTTCGAATATCCAGATCAAACAAATCAGTTCTCTAATTATAGACTTGTATCAGTTTTGATGAAGCCTGTCGCCCAATACCATGGTTCATTAAGCTGGCAGAGATACGATAGATATAACAGTGGTCTAGACGTTTTATTCATAGGGCACGAATTAATAACACACTATTTTTTTATTATAACACTGATTAGGCATTTATTTAATTATCATGAATTGAATTTACTATTATTCAGAAGAATTATGTTAGTCACGCATATTGTCTACTTATAATTCAAAAAAACTTGTTTGAAAAAAAATGTTTTTTTGTAAACGTACTATTCGCCCTCTGGTGACTCGGTGATAAACTTTGTCTTGTAATTTAGTGATTCATTACATTTGTATACACAGTACTGCAAAAATAATAATAATGAGGTAAAATTTACCAAAATTTTATTCCAATTAGTAGATACTGGCAATTAACGACGAAATGTTTCCCGTGTTCAAAATATTCATAATATAGATTAATTTTTAGGTGAGAGCATTTGAAAGGTAATATTCAAGTGTAGCTTATTTTGTAAAGTATTTAAACTGACATGAAACGAAGTCTAATAATCGAGGTGACGAAGGTCGATAACACACAACAATTTTATTTACAGATGCTTCGAACGTTTTGGAATACATATATCCCATCTTCAGCGAAATCTGAAAATAATAATATAATTATATTTAACTTGTGCTGTAGTTACCGTAATAACTAATTGACTTACAATATTCGTTAAAGTGGTAAACGGAAGGAAGTAAAAGTAATAGAATATTACAGAAGTAACACAAGTTACATGAAACATCAAATTATAACAATTCTTAAACGACTGAGTGTTAAGTGAACCTATTTAGAATAGTCTTAGGTCCAGGATGTTTCTAAGTCATAAGAGCCGGGTAGTCTTTTGCTATGAGTAAGCTTTCTTTTATGTTGAATTCAAAGTTTGAAGACCCAATAGTAATGATAGAAAAATCACTATGTGAAATACTGTGATCTGTGTTTAATGTCTATATATTAGTCTGAGCTGGACTGTAGAAGTTTTTATTAAACAGAAGAGTTTCTTTTTAATTTGTAACGTTTGCGAACCCATAAAATAAAAGTTAATAAGGAAAATTTGGGAACGGTGTTGAAAGTAGCGGGTGGCTGTAATTTGTTGTTTGCGAGTAATTATTGTTAGAAAATCGGTCGAGTAGCTATTGTGTTAACAGATGTTTGTGCAAAAGTGTAATTTCTCCACGTAGAATACAGTAATTCGAGCAAAGGTTAATAATTCTGCTTAACAGTGACATGACGAGGTTTCGTTTGAAAAGGTTGGAGATAAAGCTGTTAAAATTACTATAAAGGCCTTTAACTATAACAATCTTTACCTTTTTTGTTAATCCTGATGTCAAGGAAAGGTATCTTCGAATTCGGATGCGAATTTGATATAAAGATGTTGAGAGTTCAGGTAAGCAAGAAATCTAGCAACGTCTCTAGATTTTCGAAACCACAAGAAAATGTCATCAACATAATGCTTGTACATGACACACTTTGTATTCAGGTTGGCAGGCTTCTATTCGATTGTTTTATGGTAGCGTATAAAACTTGTTTATCGTTGACCCAGCGAGGATCCCATGGAGATTCCAAATGTCTGCTCATATATAACGTTATTAGAGGAAAATGGTTTAACTTCGTGGAGAGGGCAAGAAATTCCAAGAATTGTCTTCGAGTGAAACCAAGAAACCATTTAGGGACAGAAGGAAAGAGAAGGTCCACGAGTAAATTTCAAGTTTCATCATATTGATCAGCAGAAGGAATCTTACAGATTTTATAAGCAAAAGTGAAAGAATCGGTACTAGTAAAAATTATTCAAACTTAGAGATTTAAGCATAAGAACAGTAAATTTAGAGAGGTTTTAATTGCAAGAGCTGAGAGAATAGAACAGAAAGTGTACCCAGTTTTGGGTAGGCTATAAAGAATACCGAGTTTTGTGCCACATGGGGTAACCTGGTGGGAAGTTGTTTCAGGATACGTTTTGATCTTTAACGGTCTTCTCTCTCTTAAAAGTTGGAAATAGTTAGTTCTTTGAATTTATAAGAGGCACTGAGTTGGTTTATTTTATTAATATACTGTTTTTCTCATAATGACAATAAAAGTATCTTTGTGTGGTTTAGTGACAATAATATCTTTGTTCTTGGATAGGGTTTTAAGAGTAATTTCATTCTCCAGCTGCTTGAGGTATGCGACGGTATGATTGGAAGCCTTATCTTAGTGAACCCACACCATATTGGCTTAGATTACGGACAGAGATCCTTCTTGATCGTGTTGCCTTGGGCACGTGGACGGGTTTTTCAACTGAATTTTGTGTTTGTGGATTCTCGCTTGCTTACCACGGCTGGGGTAAACTTTCATTTGGGGTGGACCCGATGTCCAAAGTTGTTCCATATTACTTTGTTTTATAATGCCGTTAAGGACAAGGGATATTCCCGTATTGGAAATTTTAACCTCCTGACGTGAACACGTGTTCGCTGTTATATACCCTTCTCAAAAGTGATCAGTTTTCGGTGGCATCACACTACGTACGAGCGCCAAAATGTAGGTCTGATACACATTGTCACGTGACTTACTGATTTTCATACTCAAAATCGTTTAATATAACGTTTTCAACCCTCTGAACATGTGTTAATAATTGTAAGATGGTTGGTAATGTATGTGTGTATGGACATATATATTCAAATGTTTAATGTAATCAACATAATACTAATATTAGTAGGCAAAGTTTCAGTTATTATAATTATTATGCACTGATAGATAAGATAAAATCTGTCTGAATACAGTTTATATATAACTTTTGTATGGATGAGCTACATGGGTTCCTCCTTTTGATGACCCTCGTTTATGTCTACTGTGGTTATGCATAAATATTTCGGGTCATTTGATTATGACTATTTAGCATTATTTAATTTGTGTGTTACTTTGATATCGTAATGTTACTGTTAGTTATGAAGGGTGGCGGCGCTGCTTTCTGTCACACGTTTACCAATAAAGTGTTTTTAAAAAAGAATGATGCATACCAAAAAGAAAAGTTAGTTTCTGAGACCTGACCAACCGCTAAGTAGTATATCCACTCCTTTT